AGGATCATTATGGAGCAAATTTCCCCTCTGTTGATAAACAAGCAAGATAAACAGAAGGTGATGCTGAATAAATCTATAAAACACATACAGAAACAGAAAAATCAGGTGTTTTGCTGATTCTGTCTCCCCACCATCATCCCAATCATACATCATACAAATCCACTCGTCTGGTATTCTATGGGGGTTTTCGTTTAGTTCCTTTTTCTGCACATGAAACTTTAGCTTTAAAATGTCAGCAGATCTAGAAATTTCCCCCACTTTTGACATCTAAAAAAATTGTGAGTTAGCTGTCATTCCTTTACACTGTTTTATACCATTTTTCTTGTAAATCCAGTTAATGTTGAAAATACCTCTTTTCAGTTGTCATTTGTATGTCTGTAGATTCTATAGTGTCATATCAGCAAAAGACTTTTTCAAACAATGCTGTGTGGAAAATTTCATGGTATACTACAGTGGTTGAAAAAGAAATCTTTTTATAGTGTTATCATCTGCTGTTAACACCTGGGAAGTTAGAATTTGTGAAACTGGACAAATATTAGTGGGGCCAAGATGCCTAGGTTAACTGTGGCATGTAGAACTCTTTTTTTTTTTTTTTTTTTTTTTTGTTGAATTTTTTTTTTTTTTTTTTTTTTTTTTTTTTTTTTTTTTTTTTTTAATTTTGAAGGAAATCTTACTCAAATTGGTAATACCCAGGTGTGTCCACACAGGAGTTGTACTAATATGCCCTTCTGCATCAACACTGTAAAGCAGGACAAAAATTACTCTTTTCCCTGTCACATCACTCAGATAGTGAAATTTTGGTCCCAAACTGTTTCTCCACACAGGAGTGTACTGCAATGTGGGCATAATTTTCTTTTATTTGTCCTGTGTAGGCAAACCTTGTATGTCACTGAGTTCTGAAGGTTGCCCAGCAGTCTCCTCTTAACAAAGGAAGTTGGTGGTGTCAGTCTAGTTCTCCGTGATCACAGTGTCACCTAAATAAATAGGCTAAATGACTAGCCAGTAGGCTGAAAACACTAAATGAAAGATAAGGATGAGCAGGGCATGAGGTCAGGTCTTATTTTGCATATAACACTTAGTACTGAGTTCAGACAAATTGGTAGCAATTCTTGCATTGATACTACTTGTGTTTATAGCCTAATGGAGCAATAGAGGACTCTAGGGGGCAAGGATTAGCAAGCCAGTAATTTTCTGAAGCATCAAGTGAAATTAAACACTTTTATTCCATTTATAAAATGCAATTGGTTCATTATAGTGCAAACAAGCTCAAACTGCGCAGCTTGCAGGAAAGAATTCCCTCAATTTCCTAGCTTCAGAAAGTTGTATTTTTTTCACTGAATTCTAGTTCAGTTAGGTTCTCAGCATGTGCCAATCAAAGGATTAAAGTTCACTACTTCCCATTCATGACTCACCGTGCTAAAAAGGTGCTGTGAGGTAGTGTGTGAACATCAGGCTGGTGTGTTCTGTAGTAACCGTAGCCAGAGAAATTTAATTTTTGGCTTTTAGATTTCTGTGGGTGTGTACCTCAATTCATTGCGTGCAGGGCTTCTTCCTTATTCTCAACAGATTTATTGTGTATTTCTTCTATGTTTTCTCACAAGCCAAGTTACCTTCACTTGAACCTCTGTGGCATGATCTGGCTAGAACATTCAGAAAACCACCTTTTCATTTAGGACAAGAAGTTCAACAGTCCCAGTAGCCAAATTTGAATCAGTGCACCATATTTGTGCTTTAAAGATACTTAGGTGTGAAAAGATGTAAACTGGCACCTAGTTTAGTTCTCAAGATCTTCATGATGCCTTACTCATGAAATCATTGCATACATACCTAGATGCTTTTATAACTAACTTTGAGTGATATAGACATCTAAGTCTTAAGGTTTTGGTATTTAAAGTTCCAGTACTTTGGAGCTTAAAGCTTATGTCAGTCAATGAAATACCTATTCTCAGGATCTTTCGTCCTAATGTACTTTCAGTTCAGCACCTAAGTATGCTTAAGAGCTGTTAGATGTCCCAGTAGGTGCCTTTCCACATACTTGTATGTTTAAATATCTTCGTAAATTTGTCCTTCAGTTACATTGTAATAGGAAAACTTGGTGCAAAAACTAGCATGCCAGAATTTTTTTTTTTTTTCCAACTACTTAAACACTGGCATTGCTCTGACAAGGGTTTAAAAAAAGCATTTTGAGCATTGGCATGCAAATTAACATACCAAGCAATTAAAGTCAATTAAAACAGGATGCAGAGTAATTGGAAACAGTTGTGTTCACATTTATATTCAGAGAGGTTTGATGTGTTGAAAGAAAAGAAAACAATTCAGGAAACTTCTAGTGCCTGCAGATGTGATCATGATACTAATAATGGCATTTGATTTCTAAAATGCCCCATCCTCCTTCACCTCGTGAGCTCTTGAGAAGCATGATAAAATGAGCAACTGATGCCCTGGATGCAATGGAATTAAGTGGCTCAGCGTACTGGGATTCTTGAACACAACCTACAAGTGGTGGCCTTCTCTCACAATCCAGATACCTGTTGTGGTACAAGAGAAGCTTGCAGTTTTAGCAGCCTCATTTGCTGTATGAACACTAACACTGATAAATTGTCAACAACGTCAGTTGGATCGGGAAGGGTATATCTTTCCCATACATGCTTCCTTGGTATCTCTTTCATTGTCGTTCTGGATATCTGCATTAGTATTTATTGCCAGAAATACTGAGCCAATTGCACTCTATTTATATTCTCTTTCTGCATGGTAACCGGAAAGGAGGGAGAGTCCTCATTCCTCTAAAGCTGAGGCGCAACTACCCTCATGATAAAAAAAAAAGTATGCTAGAGTTTGTCGTTCTAGTACTTGCAATAACATTAATAGGTGTGGATGGGCTGTGGAAGGCATTCAGAAAAGCAAACAGAAGACTATGAAGTGTAACTCTACAAGCCTGGATGGCTGCTGCAGCATTACAGACTGTACAAGGGTACCTTTACCTGAGAGTAAAGGGCGGAGAGATGAGTGGTTTCAGCTCTTCCTTGGTAGAGCTGAGTGAGGAAATACACCCAAAGGAACCTGGGAGGAAATCTGCCTCTGCAAAATTGCAATCTGTTTACTGATGTAAACCATTTCAAGGCAAGTGGCAGGCTGTGCAAGATAGCAGGCTGCAAAACAGTGTAGTTAATGAAGCATGATGCAATGAAATGTTACTCTTTAATGTTATAACAGATATTCAGGTGCAATACCTTCCATGCCATTAAATGTATATATCTGCTGACTATGCTCTATTAAAAGTGACTATTGATTAAAAAAAAGTAGAGAAAAAGAGCTGGCAAGGAATTAAGTACAGAAACATGAAAACTAGTTGCTGGCTACTCCGTACTTTCCACTCAATATAAGACTCAGAGCAGGACCATGTCCATTCCGTGCGTTTCTTTTTTGCTTCTCATGAACTGATAATCCATTCTTATTTGAAATCTAAATGAGGAGAGCAGTGTCTTTGAAACAAGTTCTATTTGAACTCAGCCAGTCATACCAATTTGCATTTCCACTAATAGTCAATTATAATAATGTAAGCACTGGGATGAAGCTGTCCTTTTTGCATTTTATTGACTTATGAATTCTTCAACTCAGGCTTCTGAGACCTATAGGAATATAATGGTTGTCTTCATTTCCTTGGAAAATCATGGGTTTTATTTTCAAAAGGGGCAAGACACTTGAAAGACGTATAGATGCTTACATCCTGTTAAGGTCAGTGACAGTGAAGTGTCTAAATATGTCTTGGGCAGCTGGACATGTTAGAAGATCTGCCATGTGATTTTTTTTAAGTTCCTCCATTTCTGAGTGTACTAGCTGGGGCACACATGAGATGATTTCATGTTTGGGGTTAAATAGCATAGCCTGAAAATCAAATTTCAGCTCATTAGTCATGAAAATGTGTGTGTGTTTTCTGATGTACCTCTTTCATTTAAATAGGCATGAGACAGATAATGAACTTTTGAATTTAAAATGCCTATTTTTGAGGGCTATACAGGTTGTATTTTTCACCAAATGATTTCCTGCAGCTTGTTAAGTAATTTTGGCTTGTGCAAGGCAGATGTATAAGAGGATCATCTCATATTAGGATATTTTGTACCTACTCTGCACAGGCGGAAATGGCTATAGAGAATTATGGATTGTTAAGTTAAGGTGTTATTTAAAGGACATTTTTATAGTGACATGGAATTTATCATTTAATTCATCTCCAAGTTTGAGTAGCTATATACTGCTCTCAGGTTTTTGATTGTAAAATGGGATCAATTCTGTGCAATGTATTCTTTAGAAAACATGACTTATTGCAGGTTTCCAGAAAAGCTCAGTTGTTCCTCATGCACAGAGCAAACTGATTTCTGATAAAAAATGTGGCCATATACGTGAAAACAGAAATTGCTGGGCTTGAGCACTTCAGAAATTTTGCCTGAAGATGCTTTGCCTGATAAAGGTACTATAGCAAATCGCAAGGAGATATACATAGCATTAGACCTTTAAGTTTGATGAAATGTTTATTCCTCAAACACAGACATGCAGGCAAAGCAATCTGATGAGATGACAGTTTAGTAATTATGAGGTGACTGAGAATTCATTGCATATGTTGTTACGTAATACATATAATGCAATTAATTACTTGCTATTATCAGTCAATTTCTCTGTGTTTGGAATAGCATATGGTAGAGTGTACAGGTACGCTATAGAATAGTGTCTGGTCACGTGTCACAGAGAGAGAGTAAATAATATACTTAAAAAGAACTTCCCCATTTCTCTATAAAAAAGTGTTGACTTTTCCTACATGACATAAATAGCTTAGAAGGGAATATCTTTGAAGGACAAAACTCACCCACATGAACAAAGGCATCAAAAGCACTTTTACTCCAGAAGGATTTGGGTTTTTTATCTAATAGCAAAATGGGTGTGGAAATGAGGTATTTTTGTTGCAGTTGGAAGGAAATATTTTTCTAATGTTTGCTGCTTCTTGCTAGGTTGTATACGTAACAGCCACATTCCCCTATATCATGTTGATGATTCTTCTGATTCGTGGAGTAACATTACCAGGCGCTTCTGAGGGGATAAAATTCTACTTGTACCCTGACCTTTCTCGACTGTCTGACCCACAGGTAGGATCATGGTCCATGTATTTATTTTCTTCTCTGAGAAAAACTGCAAGAGTTTCTTGATTTTAAAGTTTGAATAGAGGTGATCACTGGATAGTTGTTCATTGTTAGAGATTTGGAATTGTGGATAGGGCTTTAAAGCCATCACTGCTTACATGTGTTGGAATATATTATTCTTTTAGTAGAAAAGTACCTTGGCTGATAAATCAGAATTTTTGGAGTGTATAGTTGCAGTTGCTGCTCCTGCCACTGAGGGGCAAGAGCGTTGCCACTGGTTCAACAGGAAAAAACTGAACTGAGACATCCATTTTACAGTTCTTTGCTCATTCCAAATCTAAATCTCTAAAGATTAGTAGATAAATTAATCATTCAGATGACTGTTGTCTTTGAAGCAGAAGTCTCTATATGCAATCACGGAGGAATGAAGTACTAAAACCAGGAACTCTGTCTTTTTCATTGTTTCCAGAGTAGAGTTGAACATGGACATACTGGATTAAGTTGATCTTTTTTCAGTGACAGATGAGTACAATAAAGCAGTTATTATATATCATTTGTCTGACATTGAGGAGGGAAAAAGACACACAAAACCTGACAGATTGCAGACAGCGTTTTGCTTAACTGATTTGGCAATGTCAAAGATATTATACAGTGTTAGTCCTAAGGTTATTACTGTATTAAATGGATCTGGAGATGGAGAGAGAAAGGAAGTTTGGGAATAGTTGTCAAAATTAATTTTTTTAATCTGCTTACTGAAAATGTGTCAGCATAATTTTTTTTAACCTCTGCTTGCTGAAAATGTGTATTTTGTTGCAAAAGACAATAGAGGTGACCCTTCAGGTTATTTCCTTGAAGTGTCTGAAATGACTGACTCATGTAAAAGTCACTTTAATCAATTAATATTTCTACAGAAAAAAAGAGCTAGAAAGAAAAAGATTCATTTAAAATACTTAAAATTTTAGATGAAAATTTAATTTTGTTGCCACTTTTGGACTTGACAACGTTTCCATTGTTCTACATCAGCACAGATGGGAAGTGAAAGAAGAGTTGTGGAAGTGGTGTTAGAATGTCAGTGATGTGCTATGGATTTCTGATGGCTAGCTTGCTTAGAGGTGGCCTCAGTTCACCTGAGAAATTAGCATAGCGACAGAGAAAAGCAGGATTCTCTGACACGCTCCCAGTTATTTGTTTGCAACATATAATAGACTCACTGTAGTAAATATAGCAAGCCAGTCCAATTTCAAGTGAACCCCATGTGTCTTAACTCATTTTAGCAGAGACAAGAAATTTGACTGTCGTATGCTTATCTGAGAACATGGATGGCATCTGTTTATTTTGTCCAGTTTTAACTAGGGTTTCACCCCGCTGTGTGGTTGACAACTAAAGTTACCCACTGCCTTAACAAAAAGCGTTCACTGAGTACTCTTTTCTTGTACTACACCATGACGATTCCTCCACCTGCAAAGTCTATTGACCTAGTACGAATAGGAGGTAGTCCTGCTGCTTCAGTGTCGATTCCTTCACACACTCGCCGTGTGCGAGAGGCCTGTTAACAGGATTTTGCTCCGTGTGTGGATTTTTCACATGCCACTGACACCCTTCCTTCTGTTTGTCATTGAGGGAGGGCATGCAAGCTTAAACAACATTATTGTCAGGCTACAAGGGGTTTTTATATGCCTGTTTACTGTACTGTTTCCATTTGTAAAGAAATACATTGTTGCCATGGCAATTTCCAAACCGCATAGTATTAGTCTAAGCAGTCCATGAAGTACAGAGCACTTAAGACACGTGTGCCTGTATCTGTTTGTGCCATACGTATAGCTCAGCTGATACTAGAATGTCTTTTGGGAAGGTTTAATGGTTTGCTTTAACAAGCCAACTTTCTTCTCTGTTTCAATTAGACTTTAACTGACACATTGCCATACTTCAGCTTTAGTATTTTAAGCACCTTTTTGTGGGAAAGAAGCTGAAGTAGAATGGGCCATAATAGAGACTGTGAACAGTAATACAGGTAATTTAACTGCAGCATGTATGATGAAACAGTTTTACAGAATTATTTTTATGTTGAAAAAATACAATTTTGTTGAAGTTGAAATATTTTGTTGAGACTAGTCAATTCAATTTTTGAAGACTTCTGAGTTATGGGCACAATCTCTGGTCAGTTTTCAAGAAATAAAGGAAGTTTAGCTTCTCAATCTTAAAAATAGAATTTGGCACAATTCATTTTATTATTAAAAAAAAAGTAAAATGGAATTGGTTCAGCTTTAACACAACTTCTAATGGTAACAAGATAGATACATAGACATTTTCCATTTTATGGACATATAGAACTTAATAATGTTCAAACCCACAAATTTTTGCATCAAAAAACCCATTCCATTAAGCCTCTTCTCAATTTGTTCTAGAGATTTTTACCAAGAAGCAAATATAGGACAACTGAAGTAACCTTGACATTTGTGCTTCCAGGTTTCATCTTTACTCTTGTTTATTTGGATTTACTCCACAATATTAAAGCATAATGCGTGTGTACTAGCAGAAGTTGTTTCCCTCTTCAGTTGGACGTCTGTTTAAATAATGTTCCAGGGAGACTACTGTGTCTGTATTAGGAGAGCAGTATTTGAACCACAGTGCCAACTATGTTTACTGTGGATTAAATAAATTAAGTTTCTCTTCAAAGCTTACTTCAGTTTGAAGTTCTTGAATCTTTTGTCTTTATGTAATTTGCATTCCATGGTTCGTTATAGCTTTCTGAGCAGCTATTCATCTGTCTTTTCAGTTCCTCTTAGCTTTCAAGTGCTGTGTTCTCTATTTCATTTTTATATTCTATCTTTTCAGCAGACTGAATCCTCTTGGTCTGAAAATACCATCTTTTGTCATGTGTATCTGTAGAGCTCATACCAGTCATTTTATGTTATAATAGTGGAGTACTATATTTAAGCTTCAGAAATGCTTTGTTTCATCAACAGTAAGGATTCTAGAGGCTTCATACTCAAATTGCCTTGAAATATGTCCCTCTACCCCAATCTGGAAGATACAGGTGCTGTTTATAGCTTAAATATAGGGTCTTCCTGAGTTATAACTCACACAAAAGAAGTATTTTACAAAGTTAATAGGATTGTTATGGTTTTTGTGTGCAAGTCTGACTCAGAATGAGGTTCTGGTTGTCCCTTAACAGATTTAAGTCATTTAATATGTAATTGTGCTTGTGTGTGGTACTCACTACTCCTTTTTGGGGAAAACATTCAGTTCTTCATAATGGGATTTTCCAAACGTTTGTGCATGGGAGAGATTAAATTGGCTAGGGACTAGCAGATGTACCAGTTTGATGGATCAAGGGGTAACGTTATGGTCAATGATCTGGAAAACACATGCATGTAAATTTAAACCCTGCAGTAGCAGTGGATTCTTAAAATGAGGAGGAAAATAAAAATAAAGCCTTCTTGTTTATTTTGTGCTTGTATGCTAGTAACTGGCTCAGTTACTGTTTTTTTTATTTAAAAAATATGTATTGTTTTAATGAAGATATTCGTTACAGCACCTGTGGGACTGAACATGTCAACACAGTCAGAATTGCACTCTTCTCTGAACAGTTGGTGCTCACCAAAATCTTGAACAAATTTAATTAATCTGGGTTTTGTGACTGAATTGCACATGAGAATACATTTCTATGTGGAAGGAATACAGGTTGTACTTTATCTCTGATACACTGTTACGTGAATGTTAAGCATGATGAATGAATGATGAGGCAAATTACATATAAGGTAAAGGAAAATCTGAGCCATCACAGTTAGGATTGATTTTAAATTTCTCTGATCTTTTATTTGCAGTGGGAAACTCTTAAAATTGCAATAAAATTTTTGATGGCAGGAACATTTCTACAGTTCATCTCTAGTAGCTCAGCTATGAGCTATGAGAATTCAACTATTGGGTAGCCATGACTGTGCATCACTGCACAGAGCTTCCAGATGTTTTCTATGGGTACTCCTGCAATGGCTACTCCACCCAATTTGAAAATGGCTTCCAGAAGGACTTCTTCCATACATTTCCCTGGCACTGAAATTTGATTGACTGGCTTGTAGCTCACTGGATCTTCCTTCTTGCCCTTCTTGAAAATAAGTATCAAAACATGAATGCATAGCAATGAGCATCAACTTAACCTGAAAAAAGCCTTATGCTAGATAAGTCTTATAGTACAAAGATGACTTGCTTCCTTACATTGCCCTCTGTCTCAAAAATTTCTTTCTTCATGCATTTTCCTATGTAGCACTTAAGCTAAGTTTTCATGGTCTGTGTGTTTACAGAGAAAAAGAACATTGTAATACATCGAATATCTGTTTTAGGGAAAACACTTTTTTTGGTGGAAAATCACTTGGAATAAATGTAAATTTTTTTTTTCCTGAAAATTGTAGTTTACATTACATACCTGTTAATTTTCAGAGTAGCATGAGTTTATTTTGCTAGTTATTCACTCCTTCCTTAACATCACTTTAGTATGTTTGAGCATATACATAAAATCCTACTTTTAAAAAAGATGCTACCCACCAAAGCTGTAAACAATTGCTGTCCAATTAGGCTTATATTTAATATGCATATGTGTGAGACGCATTTAGGAATACTGTATAGGTGTAGAGATAATGTTTTCTTACATCTTGCTCTGAAAATCCAAACTGGAAAAGTGTTTGAGAGTTTATCTTCCCTTAACTTTTTATTTCCGATGTTTAATAATGCGGAGTTGTTTTAATGATGACAGCTGCAGCAATAATGCCACTCTCATTCTTTACCAAGAACTCTCCTTTTAGCAGTAGAAGAAATAAACACAGATTGATTCGATTTTGGCACAGGCAGCCTTGGAAGGAAGCAACTATCACAATTGTATCGCCACCTTGAGGCCAAATGAAACCCATGTTTTCAAAGGTAGAAGAAAAAAATTCCTAGCTTTGAAAGTGGAGGAAACTGTTGCATTTAAACACAAGTGTTAGGGCTCTGTTTTCTTTCAAAGAAAAAAA